AGCAATCCCACCGACAAAGCGCAGGCCCCGGTACACAGCTGTAGTAACCCCCGCTGACTTCTTTTACTGAGGTTATATTTATCGGTGGTTTTTTTCCTGAAGTTCTTATGTGTCCTACGTGTTTCAGTCGCCAATTCTGAATTATAACTAACATTAAAAACATGTTTAAGGAGGAGAGAGAGCAAATAAATCTGTTTAACATCTGATCTTTGGGTTTTTGTTCAGTAATCAGTGTGACCTGTGTATAAACACATAAAAGAGATAACGTTGGTGTTTCCGTCATGTAGTAACTGCTGGCTTTAACTGTACAAAGGTTGTTCGACACTATGAAACACATACAGACTTCATGATGTTCGGCTAATATTTTTATTGTGAATATTAATCATGAGGGTAAACGGCCCTGTACACCACGGAGCGAGGTCAGCATATCCACGATATCCTCAGCTCCACAGAGTTTCCCAGCTGACTATCTAACTGCCAACTATTCCAGAGACGTGAAAATATACAGCATAAAGAAAAGTGTAAGAGACTCAGCAGCAGATTAGAATAACAGTTATACATTTAATAAATCACCAAATGAATCCAAGAAACGAGCAAACCTGTTCCGACAATTTGAGTTTGTATTCCCTCAGCTGCAGACTCGCTGCTGTTTAAATGTTTGAAAAGGAAGATTAGATATAAACAAACCTCAAAGATAGATTCAGTCTGCCTTCACATTTGATATGAGGCCAGCACGTATAGTGGCTGTGTCCTGTTTTAAGATCATACATGTAAAATTGTCGTCTGACCTCCATCGATCCAGCCGCTCAGAGTCCGTGGTTACCATGGTTACTGCATAAGCAGCTATAATGTTAACAGCTGGCACTGAGGAAACCTCCCGGCAGCATGGGTGTTTATGTTTTTCATTGCAAAAGAACCGTCTGAATGGTTAACTGAAGTTAACTTGGATAAATTATAGTTAAGGAGTATCACAGATAACCCCTATGTGAGCTGTGTGACTGGTCACCACTACACTGAAATCAGCAGGCTATTACTGAAATACACGTGCTATATCATAAACTATGATATAAACAGGGAGGTCCTATTAACATGTTTAGTTTTAAAGGACACCTTCCTGCCTTTAGTCTCATTCATGAGCAGTATTCGTTTTCTTCTAACATCCAGAAGTCTGCACGATGTGTTTCATAGTTTGTAACAAGCCTTTGACAGGTAAACATAACATGACCAAAAAAGAAAAAAAAAAAAAAAAAAGAGAGAGAGAGAGTGTTGACATAAGAAGAGAAAATGCTCTCAATTATGGAGACAGACAAATGGTTCATTTATGTTTGATGTGTGTTTATTCCTCCCTAAATATCGTCGGTGAAGTTTGCCATGCACGTCAGATTTTCCTGCGCATTTTTATACCTCTGCCAACAGAGAGAGAAAAAAAATCACATTCTAACAGACAGCTGGTGCTTAGAATACAGTTGAATAACTATTAAAAAACAGATGATATTTAGATGATAGTTCAGTCTAACACATGTGCCAGTGAACCATTAAACGTCTGTGAAACTATGCAGTTATGAGACGTAACTTTAACCTCAGCCAAACCGATTTGCTCAGTTGTAAATAAAACAGCGAAGTAAACGTGACCCGACAGACAGAACCTGAGTGAATGAAGTCCAGCGTTTAACCACTGAGAGCTAAAACTCAGCTGAGGTTTGAAAGCTGTGTGCCGGTGATTGGACATCAGCCGCTGATGAAGCTGTTCGCCTATAAAGTGCTCTGTATGGAAACAAGCTCCAGCAGCTCTGCGCTCGGGGAAAACACTATATTTACTTATCTTGTGCAGAAAAATGCGCTGACATTGCTTTATATCGAGCACCGGCTGCCCAGTTAAACTGTGACTATCACCAGGTAACGTAGGCGTGTTTCTTGAATTAGCAGCAGGTGTTAAACAGCTGACAGGTGAGGAGGAGGAGGATGCATGCAGGTAAACTGAGGGTCTGTTGAGCTGATCGCTGGTTTCGTGAGAAAAATGTCAGCTCGTTCTTTATGTTACAGAAGCACAGAGACACAAGACCAGGCGGAAAGAGACGATCGTTCGGTGCAAATGAGAATCTGCGAATGCAACATGTGGAACAGGGAGAGTGGAATATGTAAACAAACCGGTTAACGTAACCCCCTGGGTGCACTCTGCATGCTAACTGTTAGCAGAGCTAGTGAAATCTCTGAAAACATCTGAGCACTTTTGCAAACATGTTCTATGTTGACAACCTGACCAGACATACGTCGCGACATTCGCGGCTAAAACACTGTTAAAAGTGTAGCTGGTGACAGAAAAACGGGGTATTTTAAAACTACACCACCACCATTGCTGCTTGTGATTTGATCTGCATTCTGGGATAACTGGCTGCCCCAAGTCTACACAAGCAATCGATTTTCTAGGATCGACCTGTTTTGACTTACTTTGCACGGCAACCAATCAAATGTTAGAGAAGCTGCATGGGCAGCGTTAACCCCGCCCCCTGAGTTTGATGGGTGAGGCTGACAGATAAAATTATTTCATGACGAGAGCCAGGCGCCGGGACTGCCAAAATGAAATAAATAAATATATCATTAAATAATTAATTAAATGTGTCAATAATTAATTAAAATGTGAAATACATAAATAATTAATTAAATGTGTCAATAATTAATTAATTAAATGTGTCAATAATTAATTAAAATGTGAAATACATAAATAATTAATTAAATGTGTCAATAATTAATTAATTACATGTGTCATAACTATTTATTTAATTAATTAATTCCAATTTTAATTAATTAATGACAAATTTAATTAATTATTTAATGGTGTATTTAATTATTTCATTATGGCAGTCCTGGCGTTCCATACTAGTTCACCTTACATGCATTAATGTAATAACGTGGTTAGCCTACTCAACGTAAATTACACACGGACAACATTAAGCTACTCACGCAGAGAAGAACGGCTGCTGCTGCATCATCATCCGTCATCATTTCTGCTACACTGGCAGGGCTAGGGGCCAAGACTCCATTCTTCGGGTTTTTGGGGGATATTGCTCCGGGTCCGATAACAGGCAACCCACCCGCAGTAGATGTGCACGGTGTGAGGTCTCGCAGCAAGCTATCAAATACGGCGCATTTCTCGGCTTTTTAAAAAAACGCTATGCGTCGCCAGGTGTTACCTCCTTTGCACAGTATCACAGTATCAGCTTAAAGCACTTGTTGCTGCTGAGTTTGCATATTTTGCTGTGAAGTACAGTCAGACTTTTGACCGCTTCGTCTTGGGCATTTTTAATCTGTAGCTCTGCTCTAAAAGAACGTACGTACCTGGCCCCGCCTACCATTCTTGGGAATGATTGGCTCGAATCGAAAAAAAAAAGCACCGAAATAAAGCACCGAAATGTGCGCTGCTTTTCGGTCTGGTTACTACCGTTTATGTCAGACCACCGGACACCGGTACCCATCCCTAGTAACTGCACTTGTGTAGTAGGACTCCTAATGTTTTTGGTTTTGTTTATACTACAAATCAATTGATAGATAACTTAGGGCTGCCATAAAGTGGACCTTACTTTCTCTCACTTCTGGACAATTCAGTGGGCTAAAATTTACAAAGTAAACATAAATTTGATGAGACTTGAAAATATGAATTGTTTACTGGTGGAATGGAACATGAAGTCTGTAGCTCATTTTCCAACAATCTTTTATATAACCAAAGATTTCTGCAGTCAGTCTCTTCCTGCTGGCCTGATGCAGGTTGAAGAAACATCGTCATAGGCTTCACATTTCAACCTGAAAGCTGTGTCCTTGTTTTTTTATATTCTATGATTTATGATGAACAAATATTTAAAACGTCATATTGATCGTATAAAATTGAGGCAGATATATAAATCCCTAACATTTTTCAAAAACATTCTAGTTTACAATGCTGTCTTTGCACTATTTTGCATTAAATTTGGGATTTAAATAATCTGATCATCACATTATGTTTTCAATATTACAAACTTTTTTTTAGACACAAGCAGTGACGTGAATAACGGCGTTAAAAGTACTTTTATCAGTAACTAGTAATCTAATTACTATTCAGTCTTTACAACGCAGTTACCCTTACTAACAAGAAAATGCGGTGCGGACGCGTTACTATTTTTCAACACTCAGACAGTTGAAGCTGTCCTCAGGGCGAAACAATCGCAAAAGTGCTGCTGATTTGCTGAGGAAAAATAGCCACAATAAACCAATCACATGACCAATTTAAGATGCTATAGCAACAACCCAAGACAACCCTGAGTCTTCACTTTTGTGTTAAAAGTGTGTTGATAGGCCATGTAAAACTAGAGTCATGATAAATAAATATATATTTAATGTTTTTTCCTGAATACTATCGTTGTTTATGTTTACTGAGGGAAGAAACAGTAAAAACTTCACCTCTGCTTGTCAGCAAAAATTTAAAAAACAAAAAACAAAACCATCCTTTCCTATTGGTGTTCTGTAAATAGTTTGAAATAGTTATCAGGTCTTTAAGTTTGATGTCATTAACTGTTTCTGGGTCCCACAGTCAAACGATCACTGTGGCATCATTGAGAGTTACAAACTGTCTAAATTTATGAAATTTAACAGAGTTAGAAGTTAGCAGGAAGTTAGCTCGCTAGCTTCCACTTAAACATAATACACCATGTTCTGACTGAGAGATTTCGAAAAAATGAAAACAAACAGCTCTGCTATCATAACCTTAAGACCATACTCTATAACTAACATCACTGATTCTGGGTCTCAGTAACCAGCTGCTTTGCCTTTTTTCCTTTCATCAGACCATGCAGAGATACAGTTGCCCGCCTTTTCCACAGCGTTAACTGTGTTGTAGAATTTTGCTATTTTATGTCCCTTAGCTTCAAGACCATCAACTACATCCTGCAGGGCAAAGAGGAGAGAGACTCAGATGGAACAAGAGAAGTAGAACTTATTAATTTATCATTTAAATACATTGAATAAATTACCTTTTCAAGCTTGGGTTCAGGTTTTACTTCACTTTTAGAGTCTACAAGAACAACAGGCGTAATAATTGCCTCCTTAAGGCTCTTTCCAAACCAAAGGTGGTTCATGAGCGCCTTGGAGAGAAAAAATAAATCTATGAGGTGAGAATGTGATGATTACAGGATAAATTAGGTCGAAGAATCTTGTTGCTATGATGCAGCAAAGACGGGCATCAGTCCGTATCAATTTATTTTATTTAATATATAATGGCACCTTTGTGTGTGTACCATGCATACATACCGAGGCCACTGCCGGTGGAATCATTTCAGCACCAGACCCTCCAATCACCAGCGTCTTCGACGGAGACTTCAGCACAGAAGGGGCCATATTGGAGGGAGGCCGCTCCCCTGAGAAATACAACAAAGACCTTGAATAGCAGGACAAAACTACAGTCCAAAATGTCTCCATGAATCTCGGAATGATGAGATCAAGCTAAAGCCATTCTGTTATACCTGTGTGCAAAAAATGCACTGCACCCGAAATATTTCATAGTTCAGCAAAACTGATCAATCTAATAACATGAACCTACACCATCCTCCCTATTCTGATATGTTAAAAAGTACTTAGCAGCAATTTTAAAGAACCAAACTAATAGGGTTACCAATTCCCAACAAAAAAAAGAAATAAAAATAATAAAAGGGAATCACCCTCCACCTCATGATGCTTAATAGTTACTATATACAATAATGGATTTCTATACATTTTTGCATCAGATGAAAACTTTGGTTGTAAGATTCAGATAATTTTTTTTAAACTAGACATTAGAATAAGAAAGAAAAGTATGTCTTTGTGCCCCCTCTCCCTGTTCATGCCCTACCTGGCCCTGTGGCAAAACTTTGCTCATCCAGACTGCTGATCGGTACTGCACGCTACATCCACTCTATCACGTGACGCATACTGCTCCGATGTGCTACAAGGTTATAAGCTGGGTTACGCTATGTCGCAATTTTTGTGAGGTGCTTTTGTGATATTCAATGGATTGGATTACATTTTTTATTTCTCTCCGATATCCGATTCAGTAATTTAGGTCAGTATCGGACCGATACGTAATATCAGATCGGCCCATCTCTAAGGTTAACCCACTTCAATGGAGACAAAACCCAACAATAAGATGAGCCCCTATTTGGTGACAGTGGGAAGGAAAAACTCCCTTTTAACAGCAAGAAACCTCCAACAGCAACAGGCTCACAGAGGGGCAGTCATCTGCTGTGACCAGCTGAGGACAGATTTAGAGAGTTTATGTAATTTGTGTTTATAGAAGTTCACTCAGAGCTCAACTGTGCCTGTTCTTAAACATTCAAAACATTTCAGCAGGCTATGACATTAAATGAAAAATGCCATTTTAATTCAAATTTACCTGATGTGCTTTGGTTTGGCAGTTTTGTTGACCATTTTCATGATCAACAAAACATGATGCGCCACAATGAATTATGAAATGACATTTTCTCCGCAAATTTCCTCAGTAGTGCTTTTTTTGGTACTATTAGATTAAAAATTCATGGTGTGCAGTTTCCCCAGGTGTTGTTGTATTTTCTTTCAAATTTCTTATGTTGCGACACGCTAATATGTACAAACATGCATATTTATCAAGTATATTATGTTATATTAACCACGCTTAACACATTAGTTTAGAAGATGAATTAAAATTGCAAATTAGTACTATCAGAACTCAGAGGTCCAGAATATTTGTTATTAAATATTAAATTTAGAAAGAATCCTGCTGATCCCTTACCATGAAAGATGTTATCAGCTCTACCACAGAAGTCATTTAGGTGGTTGTTGAGGATGATTCCAGTGCTTGAAGAGAGGACATTGGACCCAAATCTGTAAAGAGTAAACATTAAATGAACTAGGTCTAAACCCTGTGACACTGTTGTGGAAAAGTCAGCTGGTTTCTAACAGTGAAACAGAATGATGCAGGTACGGACTCATCATTGATGCTGCTGGTGACAGACACAGCAGATCCATCTTCAGCCAGCACAGATACATGTGTGGTGCCGATGCTGTCCAGATATGAGTTTTTGCCGTAATACTGGGGATCGTGAGTCTTGTCGCTGCTGATCAAGCTCCGTATGTGGTTGGCAAAGCTATCCTCTGTCAAATTCTTTGCCATCTGTGTGAAATACAGAGCATCGGAATTACACAAAATTAACAATAATCATAATATGAATAATAATACATACTAAAATACTTTGAGACAAATATAAAAGTAATTTAGGTTTATCTGCTTTAAAAACATTTATTTATACTTATAGGTTTTAAAAGTTACATCACTGCTCAGAATTGTGCTGAAATAAAAATGCAGAGTTACTGGGAAAGGCTGAGACACAAAGCATTTTTTCAGAGTACTCTATGCAGTAAAATAATAAGTACATCCTCAGTGCTTCTATAAGAGCTTATAGAAGAGGGTAAGTACCGGTAGTGATATGCAAATGCCCTTGATAAACTGATCATTAACACAAAGTCACAATCTCACCGCAGCAAATTAACCCAAAGTCCGACTGTGCAATGCTCAGAGATATTACAAAAAACAAAACAAAAACAAAAAAACAACACTTCAGACCTCAACTCATTATCAGTGTGCATAAACCGACTGTGGTGGGCTGTGGTTTGTGGATGAGCTGCAGGCGGGGGTGGAGCAGTGGGTTCAGGCAGAGCAGAGGCTGATGTGGTATTGCTCCTTTTACCCATTTAGTCACTTAAATATAATCATACTATATGCAATAAAGCAGGTGCAAATCTGTAGGATTTTGAGATACTTACTTTATCTGAGCTGAAGTTTGGATCTCTGATATGTTTCTTTAATCCATTGGCAAATTTTAAAGCTTCAATATAACGGTGATAAAACAAAATCTTTTCATCAGTCGTCTTAGGTTCTGAATTCATTTTGTATCCTGAAAATATAAATAATTGTTTGTTTTTTATTTAAAACATCCATTTCTTAGTGTATCACATTTGTAAAGATTGTTTCATATAAGAAAACGATCCTTATTAAACACTCTACATGCTAGAAGCAACAATCAGGAACCTTTCATGATGTTGAGGATGAGGCTGAGTATGGCTCCCCCTGCAGGGGGCGGAGGGAAGTACATCCGGTACTCTTCCAAAGAAATATTCCAAGCATCAGTCACATTAGCTTGATACAATGCCAAGTCCTCCAGTGTGAGTTTTCCTCCTGAGCAAAACCAGTGAAACAAATGATTTTGTTGAGCAAAAATGAACACAATGCATTTCATAATCAAGACTTTGAATGGATCCAGACAGATCACAGTGTAGCCTTTGAGAGATGACAGATTTTTATAGAGCCAATTAATTTTCTAATTTGTAATTAGATCATTGTGCCTGGCAGACATAGAAAACGGTCAGAAAGAGAGCAGGATGAATCCCGTCTGATAATACCTGCATCCTGAATGTCACTGATTAAATTCTTTGCTATTGTTCCGTTGTAAAACACATCTGGTCCCTCGTTTGCGATCATCTCCAAAGTGTCAGCCAGTTTCTCAAATTTCACAGTATCCCCGGTCTTAAGCAGGTTCCCATTTTTATCTAAATATAACTTCCTAAAAGACAAAGACAGTGAAATAAAGCTGAAACATTCATTGTTTGCTCTTTGTATTTTTGAAATCACATTGTGGGTGTTTTTCATACCGTATTGACGTATTATTAATGCGTGGGATGTGTTGACCTTGGTAGTAAGGAATAGGGAATCCTTCTCTGGCTAATTTGATGGTCGGCTGAAAGAGGTCGGCCCACGGCAACTTCCCATAAAGCCGGTGTGCTGCTTCATAACCTCGAATTTCCCCAGGAACCCCAATCCATTTGCTATCTGGTTAGATAGATAATGGATAGTCAGTGCTGGAAAGTCCCACATACATTTGCTCATGTTTTAAGTAAACTGTAAGGTCCTGACCTTTAAATCTGAGATGATGTCTGTTATAATTTGGTGTAAATAACTAACATATAAACTAACTAACATACATATAAATAACATTTTGCATCCTACACTTACTTTTAGTTTATTTCACTATATTTACACTATTTCTGGCTCAAAGAAGCATTTAGCATATCTTATATTTACTTTTCTTACTGTTTATGCAGCCTGTGTGCAGGAGTGTAGCACAGAACTCTGGGCCCCATAAATAAATGGTGTCTGTAGCCCCCTTTTTTTCCTTGATTCATCTTTCTCACACATATTCTAATGTCTAATGTCTATTTTCTTAATTTTTTTTATGTCTGACACAAGTGAACTGCTCCAACTACTCCCAGTTCTTATTGCTGTCCATCCCATACTCAAATGCTGTCAAAAGACGCTTCTTAACAGAGACTATGCTGATTCTACATATGGATCCACAGCTTCCCTTCAAAGTCAACACACTATAGACAATCAGGGAGTAATGCATGAAGGTCATTTGTACTCTGCTGACAGCAACATAAGGGACAGGGACATGTGCATCCACAGCAGCCTGTGTCTCTGGCCCCACTTTAGCATCTCACAACATTTCCAGCTTCACCTCCACAGACAGATAATCTGCCACAGAATGAGTGGAGATTAGCCAAATTAGAAACAATGACTGATAAAGATGGACTTGTGAGGAGAGTTAAGATTGGTCTTGGGGAGGAATTTACATTAATTGAAGACCAGAAAATGGGAAAGATGGGACAGCATTCTGGCAAGAAAGCTTTAATGTTAGCTTATCACCAGCTGTTGTACTTTAGCTGGTTTGTTGACTGCCTGGAGTTGGAAGCGCTGATTGTCCAGTCTGTTTACAGTAATTAAATAATAATGCTTATGCACTCCTTAGTGTGTTAGAGTCCTGACTTTTGTTTAGTAGATGAGGTTTGAGGTGAGGAGGAGGATGACATTTTAACGAGATACCTGTCATGCTGTCTCTTTCCTTCGCTTCTTTGATGACAAGAACCCTCTCAGGTGATAAAACAAAGGTATGATCCTTCATATCTTGAGTTTGTCTTGCAGACTAAAGTGCTGAATTAAAAAAAAAAACCTCTACAGATAACTGACTACAGCTTTAACATTTTTGTGTTACATCTTGTGCATGATTTGGAGAAAGACCTGTTAAGACTTGTTTGGAGAAAGATCTAACTACTCCAATCTCTCTGGCTTTTTCTGAAACTAATTAGCATGTGTTTCATTGTGTTTATGTTCGATTACTCTGACAGATGTCATATAGGAAACTGACTTGCTGTCTTTAATAAATGCCAACGGCCAAACCCTCTGTAGTGGTTTGCTCTCTTTTTTATCATTTCTGTTTTGCTTTCTTGAGGAAAGAGGAATGACTCAGTGTGCATTAGCAGCCACCTGTACAGAATAAATTAGCTGTGGCATAAAGGTGAGTCCAAGAGCAGATTAGACTAAAACATTATAAATATTAGCATTATGGCAGAAAAACAGCCCACCTTGTAGCCACTCCGTGGTCTGCTCTGTGGTTTTACGACACAACTTAAGCAGGTCAGAGTTCACATTTCTGGGGACAGTCTCTCTGGAGTTGATGATTTTCACTTTACCTTTGAAAAGATGACATATTATTATGTTATTCCCCAGCAGGGCTGAGCTAAGAGGAGCAAGGGTGTTTTGTTACCAGAGCTGTCCATCACAGTGAATATGACCCCGCCTCCGATCCCTGCACACTGTGGGTTGATGATGGAGGTGCACAGCAGCGCAGCAATGGCAGCATCTACTGCAGAGCCGCCTTTCTGAAGAATGTCCCTGAAACAGTTCATTGTTATCACTTTAGTGTTATTGTTATCATGTGTGCACAATTAAATTTTAATCTTTATTAAAATTATAATGTCCCACAATTAAATTGCCATGACTGAATAACACGACGATGTGTTGTCTTCGTTGATGCATGTGCTAGGGACGCACAGTTCACTGAATTTTAATCTCAATCACGTCCCACAATCAAATTAACCTAATTAACCAACCTATTGCACGCAATGGCAGCGTCATCTTACCCTCCGACCATACATACATTACACAAAACATCACATGGGGAAGACAGGTCAGAGAGGTATAACAATGGAAAATGCACCACATGAGGAAAGATAAGGAGAAAAAAAAATAACTCCCCCCAGACTGAGCTCCAACAGGGAGATCAGTTTGAGAACAGAAAAAAACCACCTCTGCACAAAGATCATGAAACAACCCTTAATACGCCAAAGAAACACATGACAAGCAACAGGAGTGGGTAAAGGGTGAGAGACAGCCGAATTAGACAGTGCATCTAGGCCTACAGCCTGTGCGCTGGTCTCCTTGATCACCGTCAGCATTGGAAGGGAACAAGCATCGAAGGCGTTTGGAGTGTGTGCATATCAGTGTATATGTATGTGTGTGCGTGTCCATAGTTCAGCTGAGACAGTGTCCTTCGCCCTGCCAGGCTAAGTAAACAGTCTTCCAGCCAACCCAGGTGGCCTTGCATGGAATGGGAAAGAACAGACTCAACAGTCGTTATCAGGGTGTTGTTCAGCTCCAGCCTTGAGACCACTGCAGCTGGGACCAAAGGGGTATCCGCGTGAAGTGATGGTGGTTTTTACTTTAGTGCGAACAGCTCACATGAATTTCAAAGCAGTTCTACAGTCCAACACTGGTCTCTCAATCTCCCGTTGGAGAGCCGCGAGCTTCACCATACTTGCGTTCTGTGATGTTGCCATTTCTTGTGCTCAAGGAGCCGATTCTGAGAACTCACGGCAGTGAGCCTCCCCGAGATGTCATCCAATTTGCGCCCAGAGATGTTATTCCGAGCTAGCCCTTCCGAGATGTATCCAGTCTGCAGTCAGAGATCTTATTCTGAGTATTCACAGCAGCCGTCAGCCTCTCCAAGATCTTATCCGTGCTGACTCAATGAGCCCATTTTGAGAAACTCACGCCTCTCCCATCGTTCCAATCCCAGCGGGCAGCCTTGTGGGGGTTTGAACAGCCCGTTCCGCTTCTTAATCCTTCGATAAGTCAGGGCCAAGCCAGCTCCGATCAGCCAGAACCCTGTTATCATGGTTCCGAATAGGTAGATATCTTCAGCACTCAGGCTCACCCGAGCCCAAACATCTTGTTGAGAAAGGGGTGTCAATTGCATTTAGGGACCAGTTGATCAAATCCATAATTCCTCTTTTAGGTTTTAGAGAACAGACTGTGAGAGAGTGTTCCAGGGAAAAGTAATACACGAGACTAGACAAGGACATAAGAGGCTAAGCAGGGAAGCTAAGGGAGAGGAGGAGAGGAGAAAAGTGCGACCGCCTTCGTCAAGAGCAGAAAAAAAAGAAAGTGATGCAAGAATACTACACTGGCCAGCATATGACACAAAATTCACCCCCGCAAAAACTGATAGTAGGTTTAAATATTGGTGAAACTTTGGTATTACCGCATACTGAAAAATATCATCTCAATAAGGTGTCGATACCTTTCAACAAATGTCAGACAGTTACAACCTTCTTTAGATATCTCCAATTAAGACATAATTTTAATACAGATATTGTGTCCAAGGAGAAATAGCCATTAGTGCAAATATTTATAAATGCATGTAAAGGGAAACTGACAAAACAAATCTCTATGACCTACTCAATACTACAGACAGAAAGGAAACTGTCTACCACCTACATTAAACTCAGATGGGAGAAAGAGGCTGGAATAAATCCATCTGAAGAAGATTGGTCTAAAATATGTAAAACCACAGCCACTACTTCAAGCTCCGATCCATGGCGAGAGTTCACCTGGAAACAAAACTCTGAGGTTTTTTTAATCACCCCTAAGATTAAAGAACTCCATAAACTTCAGTAGGCCACTTCCATATTTTTGGAGAATGTCCTAAAATCGCCCCCTACTGGACAGAAGTGGTCTAAAGAACCAAGCAGATAACTGGGTTACATCTTGAGAGGAGTTTCAGTGTCTTTTACTTAGCCAACATCCCAATTGGACTGAAGAAACAAGACAGATACCTGCTACAGGTATTTCAGGTGGTCAGCCAAAAAGCTATAACACACAAGTGGTTGAAAAAGGAACCTCCAACTGTTTCGGACTGGACAGAAATACTACAAGAAATTCACGTTATGGAGCGACTAACCTTCTCCTTGAGACTGTCCTCAGAAAAATGTGAGCAATACTTGAAGAAATGGAAACATTTTCTTTCTGAGAAATTACTCTCTAGTCTTGTGGTATTCCTTTATATTATCTCTGGTAATAATATGTATCCAGGTTGTACATAATTTTCAACTTGTAACCTTGTGTATGTCAAACTTATACCTAAATGGCCTAATCTCCCTGATTTATTTATTTTCGTTTGGTTGGTCCTCCTTTTGTTGTTTATGTTCAAATGTTATTGTCTATAAAAATGGAAGAAAAAAAACACTCGATAAACAAAAAGTTGTTTTTTTTTAATTAACGTGATCATTTCCAGACAAACAGGTGGGTCTTAAATTGTATAAATCCTAAATCCACTTTTTCGGGTGTCTGTGAGGAGCCTAGCATCAGGACTGTGGACAAGCTGGAGACAGGGCAGAGAGGACTGACTGAGACCAGTGTAAAGTCAGTTGCAATCGTCCAAGTGGGAGGAAATAAGAGCATGAATTCCAATTTAACCATCTATCACAGAAAGAAGAGTCCTCATTTCAGTATTTAACCACCAAGTTAAATATGTCAAATATCACACACAAGATTTTTTCCATAGGGTTTGATGCTGGACAGATGAAGCTGACCACAAAGCTCTCTGATGGAACTAAGCACTTTGAGCGCTCAGTTTCAGTAGAAACGCAATTTAAACAGCAGTTTAAAAGTGAAAGGATTTAATCCTGTGTTAGGTTTTGGTAATTGCACTGAACCTGCACTGAATTTAGGTGAATAAGGAGGACCAACTTTATTTTGATCCAAAGACTTATACATTAGTGAGAAAGTTAAAATTTGTATGCAGAAAATGCAGAAAAGACAGTAGCATTGTGTTTGCAGATAAAAAAAAGTGGAAGTAAATTATTACATACTGTTTCAAACAAAAAAACTGAGAAAAATATTAAAAGTTGTAGCAAAAAAAGCTTAAATAAGACTGAAGATTACAAGGTTTAAATTAACTGAATTGAACACTACACGAGAAAAAGCTGAGTAATTAAAAAAAGAAATGACAGAATCAGAAAAATGGTGAATGTAAGCTGATATTCTTTAGGGGACTGGGAAGACTTGATACTAGAATTGTGACCTAAACAAGTTGATACCAAGGGTTATGCTAGTTAGCTGATATGCATTTACATGTAAATGTTTTCGTAATATAGTAAATGGCTTTTCTACTAGCAAAGGGCTTTATACAACTTGTTCATTCACCCAGGTTTTCAGTGCTACCTAACTACCATCCAAACCATTCACACTCCGATGGATGCATGGGAGAGCAACCTGGGGTTAGTATCTCGCCCAAGGATATTTGGCATGCAGACTGGGATCGAACCAACAACCGGTTAAGAGGTGACCCGCTCTACTACCTAAGCTACAGCCACCCCATATGCCACTAATCATTCGAATAAGATACACTCCAGATACATTCCAGTGTTTAACTGACTGAATAGTATGCATTGTTCTTCACAATCTGCAGCAAAAAAATCTTTAAAAATTTCTTTTCATGTTGGCTTGAAATAAAATATCACTATTGGTACTGCAGCTTACTGCAACACAAGTATGCGTTTAAATTAGGAGAGGCAAAGTGTGATATCCACATGTTGGACCAGCATGTCTACACGCTTTACCCTGATATTGTACTGATATTATTCCTGTTAAGGTTCAAAATTGAGGAGGGAGAGTACAAACCACTCTTGGTCCAGAAGGTCTTGGTCAAACAATGATTTTAATGAACACACGTGTGGGAAGACACTCTGTACGCAGACAGCCAGTAGTCCTCGACAGATACATTTTATACATAGATCAGATCAACACCACCATGGCTTTTAAGACAGAACATCATCTTCTATTTTCATGGCTAGCCCTTCCTGTCTACCTTTCAGTTCTTGTCTTGTTCCTCTTTCTTGCCGAGACAACAAGGAACGGTTCCTCTTTTACCGAGACACTTTTGCAGTTACAGCCAGACATGTGTAACCTCTTCTCTAACTAATGTGTGTGTGTGTGTGTGTGTGTGTTGACCTCACATGCTCTTTGTGTCACCTCTTCACCTACTGTCTGTGTCTCGTCCTCAAATGCTCTTTCTCAATTCACCTGTTGCACTTCTGACCTTTTACCAGACCAGAAGCTCACTGAGACTATGTGTATGTCTTCTACTAAATAAATGTTTTAACCAAGAACCTCTACTAAAACCTTAATATAAAATGATCTGATATATAAGTGTTTTGTAAGCATGTATTGCAATTCCTTCTATGTTCTAGTTTTCCCTCAGCATGGATCATCTAGACACTCTCACTAGATGAAGCTTAAGACCTTTAAAGAACCTGAACATCAACTCAAATAAGCACAGATATGCAATATGTATAAAATAGTTATAACTGCACCTGGAATACAAAGTTAATTTAATACCTGTATGCATAAAACCTTAAAGCCTTCTTAAAGCTATCTGTTACATTGTTAAAGCCTCGTCTTAGCCTGCGGCTCAAAATAACTTCCTGCTTTCACTTCTGCATACAACTTCCTGTCAGCCTGCAACTCAGTCTTTCTGAAAGAGACACTGTTTAACCCCTGAATGCAATATAAACTCCAGATTATATTATTAATGCAATGGTAATGATGACAATTATTTAACAATAGCAGTAAAATAATTTCCCTGCTCCACATTCCCTATATGCCTCTATGTTGTCAGTACAGACGATGTCAGTAACAATACTGATTTTTCAGTTGGGAACAAAACAGGTCTTAGATCCGGGTCTTTGAAGTTAATGATGGGATCTGAACACACACACACACACACACACACACACACACGTAAACAACAGTGGGTACAAAGAAAACCGTCTGGAAAGGTTGAAAAATTAAACAGTCAAACTGTTACCTTGATGCTTTTTTAAAATTTTTGCTTAGCATATTTTAAGGTATATTTTGTTGTGTAACTGTAAACATTTTATAAATATTATACATGCGTAATTCTCAAAGATGTTTTTAGCGCTAAAGTTTGCATTTGGTGCGTAATATTATGTGTAATGTGAAAAACAAAAATGTGTCAGAAGTTTAAAATGTTACTCACCGTCCAATCCGTGAACATTTCTCGGAGTCTGCGGCCACAGCAGCTTTTGAAAAAGGGCAATCAGCACTGGGTTCCTTGACACACTCACTTTTACCCTTCAAATAAAGGATAAAAGCTGGTAGACCAACTACTAGAGCACCTACAATTAGACAAACTGCACCTACAACTAATAGGGGGTGAACTTTGGGCGGGCAAGTACAAGTCGTTTTTGCGCTCTCAACATCCTTGTCCTTAACGTCCTCGTTGGGGGGACACATAGGAGTCGTATTTGCCCCCCCAACGTCCTCGTCCTCAGTGTCCTCGTTGAGGGGGGAAATGGGAGACATATTTCCTCCCTCAACGTGCTCGGTTGATTCAGGCATCGCTGCTTTCTTCTCTGCATAAACGTCGGTAATTCACTTCCTCTGACAGTTAACCGCCTGATTTCCCAGAACCACGTATTGCGCACATATATCCGCTGTGTGAGTACTGACAGGTACAACGTGGCAGAGAAGTGTGTTTGTGGTAAGCAGAGGTAGCTGCTACGACGTTTGATTGATTGATTGATTGATTGATTGATTGATTGATTGATTGAATCTTTATTTTGAACATGTTGAAAAAGTACAAACACATAGAATTAAAAAGAGACAAACAAACAAAGCAAAACAAAAGGAAAACGAGCAACCACATCTACAAATAACTGTCATGTTCAAAAAGGAGCAGGAAGAAGCATAAGCTTATTTAATCCCACCCCTTATCTAGTAATCAATAGACTACAGAAATACCTCCTTGCAATTATATTATATGTTATGTGTGTTTGTGTTTTGTTTTATATATATATATATATATATATATATATATATATATATATATATATATATATATATATATATATAGATATATATTTCTCTCTATCCATACATACACATATACACATTTTCAATAACCCCAGTAAGACCTCAAAGGATACACAACCTACAGATATATATACCCATACCAGCATACCCGGGCACCCGCACACACATGAAAATATTGGACAAGGACACCCTATCAAATCTCTACCTCCTCCCTGTATCCTGCAAAAACCATATCCTTAAACCGCTTTTTAAACTGCGCCATGCTCGGACATTGCTTCATATCTTTACTTAGTCTGTTCCACAGCTTCACTCCACACACAGAGATGCAAAAACTTTTTAATGTTGTACGGACACAAGGATGTTTTAAATTCAATTCCCCCCTCAAATTGTATCCCCGTTCTCTTTTAGAAAACAGTTTGAATGAGTTTTACTTTACTCAAAAATGAAACACTTCTTGAAATTTTGTTATGTATATGATTTATATGAGACTTCCAGTTTAATTTATCATCTAAAATCACACCAAGAAACTTATGTTCAAGTACTCTTTCAATTTCCACACCATCTATATGAATCTGCACTTGTGCATTTCTAAGGGAATTCCCAAATAAGACTATTTTAGTTTTACTTAGATTTAGCGATAGTTTGTTCCTGTTAAACCATTTTTTAATTTTGCACATTTCTGAAGTAATTCTATCCAGCAGCTCCTTTAGATTCCCTCCAGAAAAAAATATTTGTGTTGTCTGCAAATAATACTAATTTTAATATATCAGATGCCTTACAAATATCATTTATATAAATAATAAATAATTTTGGACCCACTACAGAGCCTTGTGGAACACCACAAGCAATGTCCAAGCATGATGAGGAATGGACACCCAGCTTCACAAATTGTTTCCTGTCACTTAAATATTTTTTGACCCAGTGCAGTACAACCCCCCTTATCCTGTACCGTTCCAGTTTATTAATTAATATGTCATGATTGATTGTGTCGAATGCTTTCTTGAGATGCAGAAATACTCCAGCTGCATACTGTTTCTGATCTATAGCATTTGTAATCTCCTCAATTGATTCGATTAATGCCAGAGATGTTGATATTTTTGATCTGAATCCATATTGACTGTCAGAAAGTAATTTATATTCATCTAAGAATTTGTCTAATCGTTTATTAAACAGGTTTTCTAGGATTTGGGATAATTGTGGAAGTAAAGAAACAGGCCTGTAATTTGTGAAATGGTGTCTGTCCCCAGTTTTATACAACAGCACAACTTTAGCTATTTTCATTTTGTTTGGAACTTTTCCCGTCTCAAATGATAAGTTGCAAATATATGTTAGAGGTCCTACAATTCTTTCTATGACCTTCTTGACGATTTTCATGTAAATATCATTACAATCAGTAGATGTTTTATATTTGCACATGTGTACAGTGTCAATTATTTCTTTTTCCTCCACTGCTGTGAGGAACATTGCTCTGCCCTATGCTTGTATTTCATAAGTGTAAAATGTATCCAGCTGATCCCTTACCAAATTAGATATTGTGCAGAAGTCAAACAGCACATCATTGAGGATGATTCCAGTGCTTGGAGAGAGGAATCTGGAGCCAAATCTGTAAGTACAAAATGCTAAATGATCTACAACACATACAAGTAGAGACATTTACAAAGCAGCTTCTAAAAATAATCTCTTAAACCTTTTCAATCTTTCAGTTTTAAAGGAAGACACATTTTTGATAGCTGCTTCCTAACAGTAAAACAGATTCATCCAGACACTGACATGTGGTTGATGTTGCTGGTGACAGACACAGCGGATCCATCTTCGGTCAGCACAGACACATGTGTGGTACCCATGCTCTCCAAATACGATGTGATGCCGTAATACTGAAGATCATGAGTATTGCTGATCAAGCTCCATATATTGTCTGCAAAGCTCTGTGATTGCAAAAACAAACGCATTAGAGAAAATAATGAGAGACAAAGACAAACAACAAATTAAAGCTGAATCTTAAAGAGATTTGAGTTCAAAAACCTCTGATACTTATTTGTTTAAAATTTTATGCCTTTTTCTAGTTTGAAATAACCATCAATTTAGTAATAATAATAATAATCATTTTTTGAAACCAGGAGCTTCACTTAAATATATTATCTATATTTAGTGTTTTGTGCTGGAATGTTGCTATTTTTACTCCAGTCAGATCTAAATACTGCTTCCACCACTGTTCAAGCCATAACTAAATCAGTTATTAAATTAAACAGCTCAGCTCAACACATTAAGATTTCAAGAAAATGTCAGTTTGTGATTTTGTGATTTCAAAGTGTACATGAGCAGCAGCTCAACAGTCTGTGTCTATTGGAACCTTTCATGATGTTGAGGATGAAGGTGAGGAGGGCTCCTCCTGCAGGGGGAAGAGGGAAGTACATCTGGTATTCTCCCAAAGACATATTCCACGCATCAGTCACTGTAACTTTACACGAGGCCGAGTCCTCCAGTTTCCTCCTGAGCAAAAACAGTGAAACAAATGAATCTGTTGAGCAAAACTGAACACAACGCATCTTATAATAAATACTTTTAATTGATCCAGACAACTCACAGTGTAGCCTGTGAGGGATCATAGCAAATATTCACAGAGCCAATTGCTTTGTTTGTTTGTAGTTAGATCATTGTGCTTGGCAGACATAGAAAATGGTCAGAAAAGAGAGCAGGATGAAACCTGTCTGACAATACCTGCTTGCTGTATGTCAGTGATTAAATCCTTTTTTATTGTTCTGATGTAAAACACATCTGCCCCCTGCTCTGCAATCATCTCCAAAGTTTTTATCCAGCTTCTCAAATTTGACAAAATCATGGCTTTTAAGCAGGTTCCCAGTTATATATGAATAAAACGTCTTAAAAGACAAACATAGTGAGAGAAAACAATCATCATTTGATCCTCATATTTTTGAACTCACATTGTGGGTGTATTTCATACCGAAGCAACAGGGTTCTGTCATTTTTAACAGTCTCCGAGTTGTGTTGACCTTGGAGTTGAGAAATAGGGAATCCTTCTCTGGCTAATTTGATGGTCGGCTGAAAGAGGTCGGCCCACGGCAACTTCCCATAAAGCCTGTGTGGTTCTGCACTACCTCGAATTTCTCCAGGAACACCAATCAATTTACTATCTGATCAGATGAATAATGGATAGTGCTGGAAGGTAACGCATACATCTGCTCATGTTTTGAGTATACTCTAATGTCCTGTCCTCGTATAATTAAACTTCAACTGATTTCTAACCTACTACATCACAAGGAAACACTGTACTTTTTAAATGCTGTGTCCATTTATAACTATTATGTTAGAGATAAATATTTAGTTTTATTAGTTTTACATTTATTTATTTGTTTTGCTATATTTACATATTTGCACTTTTCCTGGTTTAGCTAAGTTTTCAAGATATGATATAGTTGCCTTCCTTTGTATTTATGCAGGCCTACATGTAAGGATGAAGGAAATAACTCAGGGATCTATACATAAGCAGTCTCTGGTATCATTGCTTTGCTCATCTCACATCTCTCACACATATTATGTTTTATTTTATGGGGTGGCAGTGGGGCGGGGTCATTAACTGTATACAACAATCTACTACTACTACTAAAATTAGAATTAGTAGCATTTTTTTTCAGTGAGTTTCTTACCGTTCATTTCTAAGATTTTAGAAAAGGTTGTGGCTAAGCAGCTTATAGCTGTTCTAGATGAATACAGCATTCTGGATAAATTCCAATCTGGCTTTCGTAGAGCTCACTCTACTGAAACTACACTTCTTAGAGTCTCCAACGACATTTTAATGAGATGTGATGCAGGAGAATGCTCCGTTCTGTTGATGTTGGACCTGACCTCCGCCTTTGATACTGTGGACCATCATATTCTGCTAGATAGGCTGAGAGACTGGGTGGGTATATCAGGGGCTGCTTTGGACTGGTTTGAATCCTATTTGCATGAACGATCCTTTTCTGTGGCTACCTCTAAGTACAGTTCCTCTTCTACTTTTCTTGCCTATGGTGTGCCACAAGGTTCAGTTTTGGGGCCTTTATTGTTCTTACTGTATTTACTTCCTCTTCAACACTTATTGAGCACTTTTAAGGACATTTCGTATCACTGCTATGCAGATGATATTCAGGTATATATCTCCTTTAAGCCCCATGATGTTTCCAAGCTACAAATTTTGCACAAGTGCATAGACTCCATTAGATGTTGGATGGCTGGAAACTTTCTTCAACTAAATGAGGAGAAGACTGAAGTTCTTGTTTGTGCTCCTAAAACTTTTGTACCTAGTGTTATGGAAAACTTGGGTCCACTTGCTACATTTGCAAAACCGTCTATCAGGAGCCTTGGTGTTAGTATTGACTCAGCTCTGACTTTGGATGCCCATGTAAAATCTTTGGTTCGCTCCTGTTTTTATCATTTGAGAAACATTGCTAAGCTGAGTCCCATTGTATAGAAATTGTCATTCATGCATTTGTTTCATCTCGTCTGGACTACTGTAATTCTTTGTTTACTTGTTTATGTAAAGCCTCTTTGGATCGTCTGCAAGTTGTTCAGAATGCT